GCCCTTCTAGACAAATAAAATCCAAGATTTCATCCAGCCTAATTGGGTAAATCTAATGGATTTCCTTATTTAGTATTTAATTTGATTATTAATAATGTTCTCCCAATAAAATAGTGCGCGGGTACGCTATGCGTTTAAATAATTAATCAGTAATTATTATACATTTTTTATTAATTATTTTCGGCAGGTGCGCACATTTCATGCGCTCCAGCACCTAATAATTTACCATTTAAGCACTGCGTGCAGGTACAGGCACGCAGATAGACATACAATCACACAGCTGGCAGGCGACAAACAGGTAACAGGCAAGCAGATATAAGTCCAGGTAATGGAAATGCAAAAATCCAGTAAGCAACAAGGAACATGGCAAACAGGCAAATTTGATGAACTGACCATGAACAACGGACAAAAACTGGTTTAAATGGTGAGTGGCTGTTTGGGAATGAATTCCAGATGAGGAGTGGCCGTAGTAGGCCAGGTAACTGCAGGACTGAGAGGAGTGGGAGCAGGTGTGTAGATGCGTGGGGCAGTTAAGTGATGGGGAAAGGACGCAAAGTCTGAGGGCATGTGGTGGGCGCCTTGAATCCTCAGGTCTGGGGAGTTGAGGGAAAGAAGATTCCCTGAAAGAAAGGACAGACAGAGTGATTGAGGGACTGAGAAGCAAACTGTGGCAGGCTGTGGCTATTTCTAGTGACCGTACCATTAAAACATCGCCTGCAAACACTCATCGGCAGGGATACCTCAGTCAGCATTATTATAGCTCAGAAGAATGATCAGTGGTTATTATATATTTGGCTAATATTGCAACAGACTTAAATGCTTAACATTTAAAAATGTAATAAAGAAATCATTTACCCTGGAAAATAATGGCTCAAATGCAAATGATAATGACAAAAATAATAGGGGACATCTAAACAAATTATGTTTTCACCTCCTTATTATATCATGATAGAAAACTGTATACACCACGCCTGGAGGATGTGTGAGTTGTGCATTCTCACTGGACAGTCTCTCTTTTCTGTGTGGAAAATGCCGTATGCATGATTGTGTATACATCTGGCCCTAGGTCAGTGGCTGTGTGAAGTGGCAGTGCTTGTTGGACTGTCAGTTTCTGAGTTACAAGTGCTTGAGGGGAAGAAGGCTGCCATAAAAAGTGACACACACTCTTCTTATTGACTCACAAACCTGAAGTTTTCAATGAGCCAGTTTGGCCCTCCTTGATTAATAGGCTGACATTTCTGTTACTTGTGATAGATCTGTTGTCCTATTCATCAAACTATCCTCTATTCATCATCTCCTCAATGAGCTAAATATCATCACGGCATCTCCACAAGGCTACTAAACTCTAGTGCAGTGTGAAAATGTAACACTATTTTTCTTGAGCGTTTTCCTTTTATGTTGGCAAATAAGCCAAGATGTTCTTGCAAAGCCATTTCCGATAATTGCATAAGACGATAAAGATGTTACAGGGGGAAATGGGTTGCGGAGAGAAAAAAATTACAAAAGAGAAAATGGTTTTGTAATGGAAGAAAAGCGTTTTATGTCTTTGCAAGACTAGCAGAGATTCAGTCACAGGGATAAATTACGGCCATTTCAATGTCTTTTCATCATTTTGTGAAAAAGGAGAAATAAACTATAAATCATCCTGTAATGTTTTAAAATTGGAGGTAAAACAAAACACACTCTGCAACTTCAGTGAAATTACTGTGAATCCATTCCCCCCCCAAAATGATATGCCATACTATTGGGAAACACACAAATCAAAGCTGTTATGCAATGTAAGTGGATTCAGTGTTATACCAATAGCAAAAGGAAAAAAAGGACAAAAAGAAGAGTGTAATATTCACTCTAGTCTGTAGGATTAATAATTCTCCCCATGAGCAGGACGAGCCCCGTGAGATCATCATAGATTATGAACAAGAATAGTCTGTTAAAGGGGATTCTTGGGTGGACAGAGTCCAGCATGATGTCAGGTGTTCCCCCATCTTGACTATGACTATCTTGAAATCTTGACCTGACTTTCTAACTCACTACTACTCTTTATCATTACATTTCTGTTAATACTGTAAAATACTGTACATATTTACTCTCCTTTAGATTTAGATTTTATATCATAGAGTGAGCGAGACAAGGAAATCATGTAGTTCAGCATGTCCATCGCGAATTTCTAATGTGTAATATGTTCCTTAAAAGTGCTTAAACCAAGTGCTCATGCCTTGCAGTTTCATGGTACTCCATTCTGACAGCGAAAAATAGGATATTTTGGACGAGTTTCAGCGTCTTCTTCTGTGATAGCCCTGATAAATCAGCTCAGTCTGACTAAATGGTTGATACCCCAGACTTTCTCAGGAGGCTTTTGAAACTGTAGGATTTCCTTAGTTGGAACTTTGGAAAAAAGGATTTCTGCCCGCCTGTGAAAACAACAATCAATGTGTGAATGGATTTGCTCTAAGTTGTCTTGTTACAACTTGTGGGACCCATGCTCGCTCACTGATGTTTAGAGAGCAGCAATTATTGCTGACTTAGAATCTACTCACCATCATTCATCATGCTACCGATCAACAGAAAGCATGGGACTACAGGGGGCCAGAGAGAGAATGTTGCTCTGTGCTGTGACATGGATCAATATACTGTATACCCCCGGGATAAACAAGCACCCGTTGTAGGGGACATACTGTACATGGACACACTCAAAGCCTTTTGGTATACTATACATGCTAACCTTTGGATTAACATGCTCAGATTCAAACCACCACACAATTCTAAACATACACTAAACACAAAACAGCCAGGCAATATTTGCTTTATTTGTCTGGGATTTGAGATTTATATTGTGAATTGTGTTCTATTTATGGTGTTTGAACATTTAAAAATTGTCCTCACAGTGTGAACAGTGTGCTGATTACTCTGGGTGATCTACAGACCTAACTGTCGTTATGCAAATGTTAGAAGTTGGTTCATCAAGACATCCATGAATATGCATGTACAAATGCCCTAATTCTCCAGTTGGATGCCATTAAACAATTGCAGAAGAAGAGGCTGTAATGAGATGATGTAATTAAAGGAGGGCCTGTCAAACCTTGTTGATGGAAATACTGCATTGTTTATTTCATGTATTAATTGGAGGAAGGTTACTGACTGAAAAAAAAAAGACGATGGATGGAAATGCACTTATTGCCTCTGGAAAGGTGCGATGGCAAATGAAGGCATGTCATATTCTATCTCATCCTTGAAGCTGCTGACACAAGTCTGTGCAAGCAGTCGGGAAAACATGCAAGGGAGAGGGTAGCTTGACACGGTTTGCACCTTGTTCCTGTTCAAGAATTTGGACTATCCACCTACACCAGCTTCAGTTTGCTGAGCCAAAACCTCATGCGGCTGTCGGAGAGACAGTCCTCCAGCTACTGCGGCTAAGCTTTAGTAAGTAAGGAGCAGTGAGGCCAGGCTCAGGTGGTTGATGACCTGATTTATGTGTCTTTAATACAGGGAACAGGTTACGGATGAAATATGAAAATAAGTTGGCAAAGATAGAGGTTGCACACCTATAAAAAGCACCCGCTGTGTAAATTTACTACCACCAAATGTCACAAGCGCGTGTCTCCTCTTCACAAAAACAATTGCTGACCAAAAGTGAGTGCTATGCAGTGCTGCATTTTTTTTAATTTAAGCTTGAATGTTTTTGATGGTGTATGTTTTTCTTTTGCAATGATGTGTGATCTGATTGTTGACACCTTTAATGTACAAGAATATCATATGTACCATAACCTTGAGTCTTGAAAATGACATGCGTGTCTAAATTTTCATTCCCCATTCAACAAGAATCCAGCTTTGAAATACACCCAATTGTTAAGTTCAGGTTTGTCAGAGGCTTTTAACACCATCTCAAAGCTGGTGTTGGAGGTGAAGGGTCCAGTGTGTTAAGGCCTGGTTACAATCATAGTCTAGAGGGTTTTCCATCAATATGTAGGCTGCTCCACACTCTTAACTGACCCCGAGGATGAACCCCATCCTCAGTTCCCTCTGCCCCATCATCTACATCTGCTCTCCAGTATCTGCCCCTCTAATTTCCACCCCTGCAGTGGCCCCCTCAGTTTCTGTTTCGTCTCCAGCCTCAGACCCTTTGAACCCCACCTCCACCCGCTCCCCCCTGGAGAGCGCAGCTATGTTGCAGATCTGTAAGAGCAGATATGGTGGCCTCCATGCTCTGCTCTGTAAAGGTGACTGCCTGTCTCAGGGCCTGCAGGTCCTGGCTTAGACTCTCTGACCCAGACACTCGGGACAGTGGGACCAGAGCTGACGCCAGACCCAAGGAAGAGAACAAAATGTTGTGCTGCTCAGCAGTGGTTCTGGTGGCCAGTTCATTGTAAGTTTCAAAGGCCAAGGCTGTGTTTAGGGCTAATGTGTTGAACTGCTGCTGCTGATTGACTTCTTATCCCCTTAGCAGAGGCCTACTGAAAAGTTTCTCAGGCTCTGGTAGAACCGACTCATCTGACGTGAAACCCATTAGCAATACTGTTGTAAAACTATACATAACAGACATTGTCGCTTTTTCTCTCACCATCCTCGGTCTGATTTAGAGACGCTGCAGGTTGATCTCACATAAGACCGGCCAAACACCAGCTTTGGGGAAGTGTTGTTCTCGTGGCTTGGTGCGGGGGTGGCGGTAGTGTTGAAAGTCTATCGATCTCTGGGGCTGAGCTTTTGACCCATGGTTTGAGCTCCAAGCAAACAATGGCGCCATGTTTTTTAGTTTCTTAGAATTTCAGTGTGTGTTGTAGGTGGAGAGTGAGGACGGGGGAAACTCAGTTCCCCTTTAATACACATTCTGGTCAACATGGATTTTGAACACTTATGCAACTGATGCATACTTAAGTTTTGCTCTAGTTTCACTGTGCATATAATTGCATTCCAACAAAGACACTATCAATGTGCCTACTGTGGCACCTAGAAATACAGTATTTACATGACTGATTCTATCTTTTGGAAAGGATATGAATATATATGACACCGAACAAGTATTTGTTTTATTATTTGTAGTCACAAAGATATCATGAAGAACGCCTGCGCTGTTGATAAGCCTTAATTATCATACAGTATCAGAGATTAAAACAATGAAACAGTATACATTCTAAGCCACAAGTGACACAGTGAGAGCCTGCGAAATGTCAAAGTGCTCATTAAAAATTATCAGCTTAATCTCACCATGTCAATACAGCTTCTAATTAAACAGTAGGTCATATGGGATTCTCAGCAGTCAACAGAATGCTGTAAGACATCCTGTTGTGTGTGACAGTCACTGCTGTGAAGCTGCGATGCCACCATGTGGTTGATAACATTAACTGAAATTGAAAGGAGCATTTCTGCCAGAAGAATAAATTAAAAAACAGAGCATTTTGGACATGCATTCAGCAAAAAATACCTCACAAACCATGACTAATAATTTCCGTATTGTAACCAAGTGGCTGAAAAAATGCATAATAATGGGGATAACAGCGTTATGTGTTTATCTGAAACTATAGCTCAAATGACAAATTATTTCTGCTGGCACCAAGAAGCAAACAATCATTAAATGTTGCCTTAAGGGAAATTTAGTGACACAGATAAAGAGTAAACCCAGCCCTTAGTGTCCCTGTTTGGCTCATTAGTGGAAAACTGGGCTAATAAGCATATCTTAATAAGAAGAGTGTACTGCAGGGGGACTCAGAGGTAAATTTGAGGTAGGATGAGGCAGCAGTAGAGCAGGATCCACAGGACCAAGAGCAATTCCAACTCTAATGGGGTTATGTCACGAGAGGCTGCTAAAGATTGCAGAATGAATCCTCCCTCTCTGTTTAAAAGTAGATAAAACACAGAAATGTTACAATCAAACTAAAATAAGGCACTTTATATTCATATTTATTAAGAAGAAATAGACTTTATGTTAAAGCGATAAAACCAAACACAGATAAGAATGTAATTATGTGTATAGTATATGTAAATCAACTGAGGATTGACTAACCAGCAATTGTTAAATCAATGGTTGAAGGTGAGGCGGTGTACTTGGGGCTGTAGTAAGAGAGATATTCGATATACAAAGAGTTTGGAGGGTGGTGTCTTTTTTTATCCTTAACAAGACCATAAACACAAGGTGTAAGAAATGGATTAAACTGTATGTTTAGCATGCCCTGCTAACTAGCATGCTACCTACAGTAGTAACCTAGTGTTATTTCCAAAGGAAAGGGACATTTTAACTGGTTAACTACATTATTTTGTGAGGTTACATGTTACATTACAAAAAATAATGTAATGTTCACTCTGTGCGAGCCAAGTTAGCGTATCAGAGTTTATGCTAACTCTGTCCTGCTCTTTATTTGGCTAGGGGAAGTTTACACTCCAGCAACTCCAAATTAGCATTAGATAGGATATGTTAACTCGCCAGTTAGTCTTTTTCTATTGTCGAAGAGGTCAATTGTGTTTGTACTCATAAATCACAAATGCAATGACCTACCTGAATGACTGAGAAGTTGCACTGGAGGCAGCAGTCCAGCTATTGCCACCACCATGGATGTTAACATCTCCATTAGCGCCATTTTGGGGGGTGGTTTTACCAGGATTTTCTTTTGTTGTTGCCTTCTTGTCAGTCAGTTTACGTCTCTTAATCTTTACTTCCCTGTCTTTCTCCTCTGCTGTTATAACTGCCTCAAAATCCATTGAATTCATCACTTCATCACTGTATTCTTTCTTGTCTTCATCTTCCCAAGTCAGATCTTCCATTCTGGCATCATTGTCTTTGCTGTCATTGTCTACTTCTGTGCTAATTCTAGTTGCACCGGCTCCTCTGACTTTACATACAGCCTTGGCAATTAATATTTTATCATTTACTCCTACCTTGAAACTTGAATTCACAACATATGGCTGGTTTCTCCTCCGTTCCTCCTTTACACAATCCGTTTCCTCGTTTTTTCCCCCTAACTTTCTGCCTTGCCCTTCCTCAACGGTCGTCACATTTTCTTCCTCTTCCGTTTTGTCTGCCACTCTCATCCCACTCACTTCCTCATCCTCTTTCTTCCAACTAGCCACTTCAAAAAGCTTTGTTTTCTTAGCTTCATCTACCAGAGCCTCTGTTTTATTATAACCATGCGTCACCAACCTAGCATTTTCTGTCTTCTCCTTCTTCTCTTCCTCACAATTATCACCATCACAATTACAGTGTGCTCTAACACCTCTCTCTTCACCTTCCTCTCTGCTTATCCTTTCTTTCTCTGTCTCCATGTCAAACACAGCTCTATTGTTTGTCATCTTTCTCAAACTACTTTCATTGTTGTCCCAATCAAACGTCCTGATTTCTGACTCAACATTTTGCGCAAGTGAGCCTTCTTGATGTTTATATCCACTGCTGTTTAACGTTTCACATCTGTCCAGATGTGGTGGCTCTTCCGTCTGCTGTCCATTCGGGAACATTTCTTCCACTGTTTCCTCTTCAACCCTTGATACTTGCCTTTTCAGCAGATCATATGGTTGAAAAACCTCTTTATTCAGATCCAGGATGTAGCTGTAGGCCTCCTCCTCATCTGAGTCCAGTGACGACAAGCTGTAGATTCCTTCCTCGGAGCTCAAGGAAAATGTACTTTCCTCCACTATTGGCTTGCTGTAACCCTGATCCGCAGACACTTTCTCCATCCATGGTCGGATCTCCTGGCTGTCTACACCTGCGTCCAGCATTCTGGGTGGCTGAAAAACACTTGGACACCTGTTTTTCTTTTTGTTGGTTGGCGAGGTGGCAGCGCTGCCTGCAGGTTGTTCAGTGATGCTTTGGCTATGACAGGATAAAAAGATGTCACCGGTGCTGGACGAGAGGCCAGGGGCAACTGCTCCGTTTGTGTGAAGCAACGTGGACCAGGGGCTCCCTGGGGGTATTCTGCCCCACCGTTTCCACAGTTGCTGCTCGCTGCTCTTCTCCAAGCCTTTCAGCAAAGCTTGTGCTTCTTGATTGTCAGCTAGGGTCTCTCCAAAGCTGACTGACTCAAGTGATCCAAAATTTGGGGTGTCAGGAACTTCAATATTTGTTGTACGATACTGTAATATAGGGTTTATGAGTAGTAGTTACATGATACTATACTGAAATAATGCTGAAAAAGAAGTATCTTTGATAGTGTTTTTGACACTGACACTTTGGGAAATGAGCTTATTCCCTTTTTCCTGAGAGTTAGATGAGAAGATTGATTCCACTCTCATTCCTGCATTAAGTATTAAGCTACAGCCAGCAATCAGTTAACATAGCTGAATGTAAAGACTGGAAATGTGGGAAACAGCTAACCTGGCTCTGCTTGAAGATGCCATAATTTGCCTACCAGCGCCTCTAAAGCAAGACATGATATATCTCATTTGTTTAATCGGTAAAAAAGCCTTACTGCACCCAGCCAAGAAATAGTCCTGCACCTAACCTGCGGTAAGAACACAAATTGTCATTTTTACACTTGTTTGTTCCAAGCAAGATATGGGCTGTTGAAACAGATGATTAAAGAACCCCCAACAAAATAAGAGGGAAAAGGGATTGTGGAAATTTATAGTATGGAAAGGTTGACTTTCTCCTTGAAACTTTGTATGGCTACATTTGCTAATTATTGGATGAAATGGTTACTACATCTTAATACACCAGGGGATTAACAAAAATTTTATGTATGCTAGCTTCCTACTTGTGCACATCATCAACAACCTTTCTTTCTTTTTGCCATCGGTGTAACACCATAAACATAAGTGTTGAATTACTGGGAGGTGCGTGTGTAAGGATCTGTTGCTTGCAGTACATTGAAGTCCTCCCTCAGTTTGAACTGAGGCCAGTAATGTGGATGGACAGACCTTGACCCACTGTGTACTACTCTGTCACCCTTCATCTGGACATCTGCGCAGACTGACCCTTACTTAGATTCTATAACCCCTTTTTCTTGTTCATCTCTATCTTCTTAAGACACAAAAACACATGTGTCTTGTCATCACTTGATGTAAACTGACTCTGTGTACCAGTGTTCCCTGAAAGAGGTAGAGCAACCCTTAATGCGTTTCAGTCTCATAACCAGTGTATATATGATGTTCAACTGCACCCCTTAGACCTATTTGCTTGTCTAGAATGTGTTAATTAGGGGTGTTGGTAGGCAGATGTTGGACAGAACCAGACTAGCTCTGTCCAAAATGACTACAGACTGATTTGACAACGGTGGCACATTTTCTTATCTTACTCTCAGCAAGAAAGCAAAAAAGCAACAATGTCAAACTATTCAAGCCGTACCAACCTCATGTATGCCTGAACAACGCCCCAGGAACATAGACACATAGGTGATGACGGACTGCTCATCTGGTGAAGTGCATAACACGTCTGAGTAAAGAAGAATCGACAGTTTTCACACATTAGGGGAAGACTGATACTAAGAAAACCATCTTGCCGTTGTAGTGCCAGTTCAAGCCTCTATGCAATACTGAAGATACAAGAAAAAATCGACAGTTCATTGCTAGAGAGGTCAACTTCTAAATTGGTCTGCAGTGGGAAAAATGCTTCTGATTTACTCCTACAGCTCTTTGGTAGGAGGTATCATTACACCGTGGTCAGTCTCTAGCACCTATAATTAATGTCAGCGCTGCGGTAGTATTATCAAGGTGAAGATGCAGAAACATTTGTCTTTGCGGATGAAGATGGATCAATGTGGGGCATTTTTTATTTAGGAAGCTTTTACCTTCAGGCTCCAGCAGAGGTGGTATATCCAGACTGTGATGGGCAATCATGAAGGCCAGCTGAATGTTTTCTCTTGGCTCTCTAGACAAGCTCTCCCTCAGGTCAACAAAGGCTGGGTTGAAGGACTTAATCATAGCTAGGAATGCCAGGCCACTCCTCCAGCTCTTCCCAAAGTCACGCACCTCCACCCCAAACCTGAAAATTCACAATTACAAAACAGAATAATATAACCTCAACACAGCCAGCTCACACATTTTCTTCACTCATTACGGCTGTTTAGGTTTGACATGTTACAAAATGTCCTTTGTAAGTGATTGGATCTTTTTCAGACTCACTTTGAGGTGCATGTTTGGACCCATTGCAGGAGAGTTTTGATTGCTTTCCCATGATACTTTGGCTCCCTGGCAGTCTTTCTGCCTTTGCTTGGCAGGGTTTTGCAGTAGTAGCTGCCAATGTCACTTGGCTGGGGTGCGAGGTCACTGAAGGACGGGTAACTGCTCATTGATAAGGAAGAGAGGCTAGAAGACAAATGCCTCTGGAGGCCTGCCGTCACCTCCTTTACCTGTTGGAGTAAAAGAGCGTATATGTAAGGTCAGTGACAAAGACAAAGACCTGGGCAAGGAGTGAAGAGATAAGAGTGATGGATGATGGGAAAAAAAACCTGGAAAAACAGGATGATGTTCCAGACGAGGTGAAGAACAACAGAAGGGATGCCATCGGCAATGCCAGAGGCATCAATGCCAAGCAACTTCACCTGAGAGATAACAGGGTTATCTGTATCTGTTTTTTCCGGATTTGAATGTTAAACGTGATGCATGTCATTGCAACATCACTGTATTGACTTATAAGTAAGCACACTCACATGCCTATCATCCAGGAATGCCAGGGCCTTGGAAATGTTGTTCAGTCTGAAAATGCGGTGAGAAGACGGCCTAAACCTGTAAAGCTAACATGAAAAATTACAGAAGGAACAATGAAGGGAATAGTTCAACATTTTTGGCTACAATTAAGCTTACACTTTCTTGCTGAGAGTTAGATGAGAAGCTGATACCACTCTCATGTATAGCAAATATGAAGCTACAACCAGCAACTTTGCCTAGCTAGCATGATGGCAGGTAACGGTGGAAACAGCTAGCTTAGCTTTGTCCATAGGTAACAAAAAAACTAACTAATTTTTAGTTTTCTATTCCTTGGCTGAGCTTTAATGGTGTAGGTAGTTGGGTTTTGTTATATCTGAAAAGAGCCAGGCTAGCTCTTTTCCCCTGCCACCAGTCTTTGTGCTAAGCTAAGCTAACAGGATGCTGGCTGTAGCTTTAAAGTTGCTGTACAGACATGAGAGTGGTATCAACCTTCAACAGTCGTCTATTTTGGAAGAAACCGTATTTATTTTATGAATACTACAGGCTCACAAATAAGGTGCAAAGCTCATGAACTCAACATTTTTTCCCTCTATATAGCTTGACTCTTACTAGTTTGCACCCAGACAGCTCCTCCAGCAAAGCCATCAGTATTCTGCCATCCTGAATGTCTGTGAACAGGTCGCGCACTTCAACTGGAGGATCACGCTGGAAATAACAAATTGTGTAGCTTACTGCAGATTTCATTTATGAGCTGAAGAAAAATAGAACGATGTTTCAGCACAACTGTATTGATGTGTGTCTTACTCTCTGCAGAAACGCATTCATCCACCTGGTGAAGGTTCGTCTCTGCACTGCCTCCCTCTTATCTGGGGAAGAGAATACAGGGACTTGGCACAGGAAACACTGCTGTTTCCCAGTTGAACACTGTTACAAAATGTGTTGAATAAGATAAGCAGGAAGAGTCTGACAGATAATGGGAAAATTACACATATGTGTTACCCCCTAAAGACTGCAGCTCATGAAGACATTTAAGATGATTAAGCATGTCTTTTAATCTAATAATTACCTTGTATAATTTATTTTACATGCAACACATGTCACAATAAAGTGAAAACATGTATGACTGGGCAATCAGATGCCATAATGTCAAAGACACAATATACAGTGATTAAACATTATTATCACACTGTATTAACCAACAGCATAAGACTTCTTGTCACAGTACCTTGAGGCTGCTTCTCATCTTGATCACTGCCGTCTCCCACTGATTTCTTTTGTGAATCCCACTTGGCCTTGTCCTGCATTCTCATTCAACTTCAGTCGTACTTCAACATATAAACCATTGTTTAGATAAGAAGGGAGAACAACGCAAAATGTCAGGCAGTCAGGCACAATTAAGAAGTGCTCTGAGGTTTCCTTACAGAATACCTATGAATAAAAAAGGCAAAGTGAAGCAGTACGTCTTGCCTGAACACGCTGAAACCTCCCTCCCAGGCGTTGGTCCGCTCTGGCTCGCACTCCCCCTCGAGACAACTCAGCCTAAATCCTATTGGCAGGCTGCAGTTCATAAAATTTGGTCTGTGGAGGCAGTCGCATAACATGCAGGAATCAGCTGGGATCACTGTGTTAGGTTACAGATTACAGATGGTTTTCCTGTGAAGGCCTCTAATAAATCAGTCTGACTCTCATAACAGAGTGATTAATTGACAGAAGCATGTTCAGAATGAATCAGCTCAGAATGAATATGACTTTCACTACAGGAATGAGCAGATGTAGCTAAGGCTTTTCCTGAGGTCATTGTATAGTACATAAAAGAAAAATCTGTTATCTGTAGAGATGGTTTGAAAGCAGTGACAAGTGGAATCTTTTTATGTGGTTTTTCAGTTAAACCTGTAACTGAAACTCTTCAGAATTGCAGCCCAGCTAGGCAATATCTCATCAACAGCTGATTACACAATTTTCTGTCCAGAGTGAAGGCATAACATGTAACAAAGGTGAACCAGGGAAATTGCAATTCACGGTAAGCACCTTAAGCAGGAATTCAGACCTGAAACAGTCCTGTGTTAAAACAGCTCAGGGGGCTGTTTTATAAGGGGCTCGTTGTTTAGGGTACTGATGAGGCAATGAAATATAATCTAGAAGTCCATTTGGAGTAACAGATTCATGTGTTTAAAGAGGTGGTATTATGGCTTTTCCCCTCTCCTTTATTGAGTTATATCTCTTTTTTGTCCATGTAACAGGTTTGCAAAGTGAAAAAGCCCAAAGTCCAGCCCAAAGGGAGTTTCCATCTCCCACAGAAAGCTCTGCTCTGAACTGCTTGAAAACAGCTCGTTTGTAGTCCAGCCCTTCACCTCCTTCACTGTGACGTCACAATGACGCGTCATAAAGCTTGCCAAGCGGCTAGCAGGGTTCACAAAGCCCTCTGCTCCCGCCGTCACACAGACAGACAGGATTTTACAACTCAATTACAGTCCTAAGGTAAACAAATACTGCTTTCACATTACAAAGTAATCCACCAGGAACATGCATATGCAGTTGGCCAATGCAGTCCCTTGCTGGAGGATGCCACATTTCGGCAAGAGTTGAGCCTCAGCTCTGTGTTGGCACCCTTACTGACTTCATTCAAATGAATAAGGCTATTTTTTTCACATAGGGCCAAAGTTAGTCTGAATACGGCCTAACCCCTGGGCCAAGGGGGTGACCTGATGATGCTAAGCAATAGCATTTTTTATATATTTCTAAAGTGAGACTTCTCTGTTCAGCTTGGTGACCATTGAAAATTGTGTTTTATCATTATTAATGGCCACAAGATCAGCTTGTCAAAATATCTTCTCTCATTCTTGTCTGACAGTAGGTTTTACAAAATGCCACATTACAATAACAATGTGTCTATGACTATTCCTTTACATGTTATGTACACTGTGAAATTTTGTTGGAAGCTTGCTTTTAAGAGGACCTCTGGATGAACATTCATTTTCTCTGCTGAGCAGGTTATATATACAGACATATAGCGTATGCTTTTATTTACATCATCAGTTTGAGGAAATGTATGACATGTAATAGGCTCACTTTATAATGTAATAAAACATTTATTAAAGAACACAGATTTTATATTTCAATCACTTCAGATATCAGTGGGAACTTAAACACTCATTTTGCCCCTGAATATGATGCATTAAAATTGCCCTCCATGCTTTTTGCAGTGACCCACATTTTACTACAGTTCTTTATTATTCCTCATTCAACCTCAGCAGGGAACTCCAATGCATCTTTAATGAGCTAAATCCTCCATCAGTGAACAGAATCGCTTATTGAGAAACTTTCCATTTGTGTTACGTGTCATAACAGCACAAGCTGAATTTATTTCAACAGAGCAGAAATTTGAAGCTGCACATTAAAGAGATAAATCAAATCAGTGTGGAATACCAGCACATGAACTACAACTAAAATACAATAACTGGATCAGAGGGCTCACTTGTTCTGCAAAGCAGGCAGTGATTTTAAATCAAGGCAAAAATAATGAAAAGGTTAATTCATTAGAGAAATTGAAAGTTATTGAAGCAGTGTGTGCCTTGATTTTTTAAATGACAAAAAAAAAAACCCAGAGGTGTTATTGTGACAGCTGACTGTGTCTGACAGGAAGAGCTTTCCCTGTTTCAAACAATATCTGGCCGCCAGGTTTTAATCTACCTGCCTCAAGAAAGATGATGGCTACAGAATGAGACCATCACCACCGTGGAAAGCAGGAATCTGTCCAAGGAACATCGCACGTGAAACTCCTGAGCCTCCAGAAGTCACGCCTTTTCATTCTTTGAGTTGCTTTCTGCAACCTTGTTGTGCCCACAAGCAATAGACCTTGCAAGGAGCAGCTTCACAAGGCTGCAAAGACTGACAGCGACTACACCCGAAAAAGAACTTAGCAATTTCAATGTGAACAAACTGCGTAACACCCAAATCTCCATCTATATTCTCATTTTTATTTTAAAAAAAATTCAAATATACCATTAAAAAGGTAGAGGATTCCCAACAATTCAACAGTCAAAATTCTGAAAACTTGACAATACATTTTGACAAGCTCAAGAAACCCCAAAATCAGAAGGGTGGGGGGGTCCTGCCTATTAAACTAGGCAGTCCATCCATGTTTCTCTGGTGTTAAAACAGGGAGCACATTCTCTTAAAGAGGGTTCTTTAACTGGTTCCAGAGATTTTCCTTTTCAGAGGCGGTTATGTGTGATTCTGGTGTCCATGTCCCCCATGCCTTCATGGTCAGTCACCCACAATGTCACTATCAAGCAGCATTAAAAACCAGTACCCGCCCTGTCTGTTCATCACTCTGCAGGAGACAAAGGGCGTCACTTCTTCCCCATGATGAAACTGGGAGCCTCGGCATCATCGTCAGCCTCTCTTTCTTCATCTCCCTTCTCTTCTTCACTGCTGTCCGAGCTCTCGTCGGCGTCGCCTTCTTTCTTGTCGTTGGCCTCTTGCTTTGCCTTCTTTGCCATCAGCTTTTTCTGCTTCATCTTTTCCCGCTTCTTCCTGCGCTTCGCCGTTCTCTCCTCGGCTGCCTTTATGTTTTGTTCCACCTTTTTCAGATATTCTACGTCCGCGTCCTGCTTCTCTGCCATCTTGTCCAGAAAGTCCTGCCTCTGGTACTCTCTGCGTCGGAGGTGCCGGTAAACATGAAACTCCCCGCTGCCTGCACCGGCGCTGGAGCCCATCACGTCTCGGACGAACTCCGGAGGGGCCCGCGGGTTCCACTCTTTCGGTCGGTCTGGGATGGGAGCGGGTTTATCCGGGTTCCGCATCAACCTCTCCAACCTCAGACGCTGTTCCTCCGCCGGAGTTTTAGCGATAATCAGAGGTTGAGCCTCTTTTCCTCCAGATTTCCCCGGTTTGTTATTTTTCTGCGTGTGCGCCGCCATCTTTCAAATCGCCGCCGTCTTTTTCCTCGGTGCTCAAGTCGCCCCGGAAGTTCTTGAGGGCTTTTGTAACCTGGAAATAATTATTTTACTTTGTAAAAATATTCCAAATAATGTATTTCTAAAGAGCACACAAAGGTGACTGGGTATATTACAATGGCTGCTGTGATATATATATATATTTTTATTATCAAATTGTCACTTTAAATAGCGCTCCTTGTGTAACTGACGTGATTGACGTGTGGCTCTACCAATAGAAAATCAGATTACAGATTGTTTGGGCGCAGCTGTCCAACCAACGTCCAGGTCCTGCCTCTCTTCCCGAGTGTTAAGTGCGTTGACTGACGGGTTTTAGCTGGCGAGTCCATTTGACGCAATTTCTTCTCCTCATATAAAGATATAATTTACCAAAGACCATGAACAATATAATTAGGTCTACCGCGAAGTGTCTGCGGTCGGCGGCCTATCTACCCAGACAAGCCGACGGACGCGTGTTGTCGGCCTCGGCCCGGTTCCTGTGCTCGGCGGCGGACCTCCAGAAGGACCTTGGTGATATGGTGAAGAAGGACAAAGTAGTGGTGTTTATGAAGGGGACGCCGGCTCAGCCCATGTGTGGCTTCAGTAATGCCGTGGTTCAGATCCTCCGGATGCACGGGGTGGACGACTACGCTGCGTACAACGTGTTGGAGGACCAGTCTCTCAGAGAGGGTCAGTAAACTGAGATAACCTGTTCATGACGCCACGGCAACAAGTCGCCACCTCTCTGTTTAACTTTGTTACTTGTAGCTAATGGTCCTCATAATTAACAGTGGAAGTGTTACAAGAGTATTTTAGCGCTAATTGATGTAACCAGCGTTGATTAGATCGATTTCCTCTTTCAGCTGTCCTTGTTAACACGTTTTTTTTATTGCCACATTCAAACCTAGGACTTTTTGTCAACGACCCCCTGTAACTAGTCTTTGAGATGTCCATGTTTTTATCAGTGTCTTGCAGCAGGAGCACAGGGTGTGGTCCTTTTTAAAAAAAAAAAAAAAGTCAGTTCACCATCAATATGGACATGTCTCTTTTCCATCTAATCCAGCCATAGCTGGAAGCCTTTCTGTTTTAGATAATGACATACCTTAGAGAACAAGGACATGCTGTCTGTAGTCACACTGACATTTTAAAGGGATTTTGTCAAGTGAGGCTTATGTTGCAACAGCAGTGTAATGCCAAGTGGTGACACACAGCATGCTGAAAGGCAGGGACACCTCTCATTCTCAGTTTTAACTACGCTATGTCTTTTAAAATGTCAGTATTGTGGCCTTTCTTTGTAGCTCTTTAACAACAAATTAAATATCATGCTCTGCCCCAATTTAAATCCCACATAAGCTGGATTCAGGGTGAATGAAACGCATTGAGTCGGCTTGTGAGGAAAACTTCCCCAAAGCCATGAATTAGTCCCACAGTCCACTATTGTAGTGCTTCTGAAAGTGTTGCATATGCTGCCTTCATGCAATGTTGGTAGGACGGCAAGAACAAGAAAACACATTAATCCGATTTAGGAGTGTTCATGTATTATCCCAGGATGGTTAGCCCTAGTGCTAACCTGGAAGTTACATCATTGAAACCTAGCCTAAATTAGTTTTTTATTTTGTTGTACCCTATTTGTAGCAGTCCAATACCAAGTGAAACCAGATACAAACAAACAAAGTGTACAGCTCCTCTTAAGTTAGCTGAATCGATTGTATTAGTGTTACTGCCGGTGGTGGTGCATTTGCAGCCATTCTGCCAGTAGGTTGACATGTGTGTAGCTCTTTTCACAGAGTGGGAGATGTCAGCTGTGTAATCCGACCCTGAAGTAGTTGGAGCCTCATTGTGTCACTTGTATTTCCCAGGCCCTGAGTCAAAGGGGGTCAGATAGACAGGTTGTTAATTGTAAGAGTGGCAAAAGCTAAGAATTGTCTGACACGGCTGCTTGCACATGTGTCTACAGACAAAACACAGAATAGTTCCTTCTATTGCTGAGCTAAATAAACGCATGCGCAATTTGTTGTGGCGATATGTTTTACACAAGTCATTGTGTTTCAGTACCAATTTGAGACAGCTTGAGCTGGCACTGCTGTGAGATCTGTTTCTATAGATCTGCCATTGACGTTTCAGTTTGTGTCACAGGGGCTATCACTGCCTCAGCTAACCACTCAGATCTTCTGTTTATAAAGTACAGACTACTGTTCCTGAAGGGTGTAACCACAAGGCATCACTTCCTTTTTGTCTGGGGGGGGGGACCCATACGAGTCCCTTGGTATTAGGAACATGATATATAATTGGTTTAAACAGATTAACTTTCATTCACTTGTGATAGGTTAGTACTCCACTCATGATTCTGTTACACCTGGCACCTTATTACTGGCTCTAACCCCAACACCATCTGCCTTCCACAGGAGTCAAGCTCTTTTCCAACTGGCCCACGATCCCGCAGGTGTACTTTGATGGCGAGTTCGTGGGAGGCTGTGACATCCTGCTCCAGATGCACCAGAACGGAGACCTGGTGGAGGAGTTAAAGAAGTTGGGCATCAGCTCTGCATTGCTGAACGCTGAGAAAGAATCCAAGTAGAAAACAAGCATAAACTCAAAACAACTGATGAGACAGAGGACACATTTATCAGGTTGAATCCCCCACTCAGATGATGGCAGATAAATCAGTTCACTATGGGCTAAAAGGGTATCATTGGTATTTTTCATTAAAACAGCTTGGGGTGCCATACAGAGCTCCTGCTGCACTGCTTATACTCGATTCAGGTCCTTTTAAATTTGCACAGATTATGTGCTTTACAGCCGAGGACTTTAAACAATGAAGAAAAAAAGAAGTCGACGTCTACACAGAGAGCCAAAATCAGATTTACCTTCTCTTTTACCCACATTAGTCACCTTCTATTTAAAACAGCAATAACAACTTTTTGTGGCCATTAGGGGGGAAGTGGCAAACACAACACTGACATACCCTCATAAGTTAAAATAGCAAACTGGTTAGCATCAGTAGCATTCATTTGGAGTTCTGTTTCTGGACACCTGATGAATCTAGTCCAGTGTTCACTCACCTTCCAGCTGCTTTTGTTTTTTTGTCTCCACCAACTCCTGAGAAACATATCTACCTGTTGCGTTGTCCATCTGCCGTTTGGTGCTGGGCAAGTAGCATACACTGGGTTAATTTTTTTCTGTTGATGAATCACACCTGCGGCAGCCAAAAAACCCCCAGAGTGAACCAAAGTCGCGGGCGAGAAAACCAAAGCTGTGAGCTGAATGCGGCATATGGCTGAGGGGAAACTGCAGCACTTTTACTACAGCAGTTTTTTATATTTCCCCATTACTTAACACATGGAGGAACAACTTTGCCCTCTAGTTCCTCAGTTTTGAATACTTTTCTATCATATCTCGATCCACAAAATTCTAAATACTATCCTTAAAATATTGTAAATTAAAAATTCATACCAGCATGGTTGTTGGAATCACTAGCCTTTGTGATAAACACAGTAATGAACATCCAACTGTAACGCCACTGATAGAGAAACCATTTCACATCGAGGTTGGACTTCTACTGCCAGAGGGAGACTGTCTGGTTCCCTCCCTGTGTTTTAATTAGCTTACACAAAAATGCTGGGAACCTCCATCATCCCCTCAGCCCTCTAAAAGCCCTGCTACCTCCACTGTCCACTTTTTTTCGCCACAGTCTGTTTAAGAACAAATGTGCACCAATACTAAGTTAAGATCTTTATAACGCTGCTCAGGTCGCACCAGGAAATTATGTCATCATACTAGAAACCTTTGAAATGCACTGCCTGTATCTACAGTGCACTAGAGGGAAGAACAGAGAGGGGACAATTCTGATGTCTGTACATTTGGAATCAATAAACTGGTATGTGTGCTCATAATATAAATGTTTTTTTTATTTCTGGCCAATTACATCACTTATGAGTTTTCTGTTGCAGTGGAGGTAACTAGCTCACTGACCATTGTCTTCTCTTTATTCTTCCTGCTAGGAACTGCATAGAAAACGTGTCCTTTCTGTTTTAATGTCTCCACCCGCTGCAACGCAACAAACACACCTCAATACCTTTTCTCTTTTTCATGGAGATGACTTACAGCACATTTGGACAAACAGCAGTTACGTTTGAAGTTTGTTGCCGCTGTGCGAGTCTGTGGTGTGTATTTTTTTGTTTTAAAGCTGGGGCAGGCCACGCTGGAGAAACTAAATTGCCTACCCTAGCTTTATTTTGTCACTCAAAGGGTTTAATTTTGTTTTCAAGTTTTCTCACTGAGCCTAAGAACCCCTGACATTTATCAATCCTCAAATGTTCTTCCTGCTGCACACAGTTGTATTATCAGAGCAATGGTCATGTAGTACACTGTAAGATATTGTACATTGAACGCATATTATATGTATTATCTGCATGTAAACACTGCACCAATTAAATATTTTGACACAAATAAGGGACCTGGAGGGTTTTTTTTGGTTGTACCATCAGTATGCAGGGATGTAAAAGTGCAGCAGTACAAATAATTCATCATAAGACAAGTAAATCTTCACTTTTAACATGCTGACATCACTGAACATTTGGCATTTTTGCTTGAGAAATGTTTTCAACGATGAATTGAAACAGTTTCCAATTAATTTAATATTAATAAACTGATCGTTGTTTTACCTCTAAATAGGAATACTCTCAAACAGTACAGTGTATGCCCTGCCTCATACAGCACGACCAAGGTATATAAATGCAGGCTATTGTTTGGTTGCTATACCTAAGTAGAACAGTAGGTTTAAGCCTCCACAAGCCGTTTGATGGTATTTTGACTTGGCAGAAACAAAAGCACAGGTTAATAACATTTGCAATTGCTATTAAGTATCCCAGAACGTATCCATGTAACACTCCATGCAGGCTTTGGTCTGTATTACTGTTTAAACTCTCACCTTCCCCCTTGGTTTCAATAGGTGGACAGGACAGAGCAGTTCAGTTGTAGCTGGTAACTTTTTGTACCCAATTAAAAGCACCTGACCTGTTTATTCCTTGAGCTTGTGATAAACCATCACATCTAGAAACTTGCAACATCTTCAGCTGATGAGTTGATCACCCACTGACACGAGATCCGGATTAAATTTATGTAGGGATTGTGAATGCCATTTGAGACACTATTTTCAAATAAAGTTGGATTATGTGAGATGCAAATGATATTTATGAATTTACAGTATGTGACTATATATTCCTATATTTCCTTCTTTGCAAAAACCATAATCCTGATGATTTCGGCTTTCTTCCTTTCTAAATGAAGAAGCTGCAGTGATGAAAGGCTCACTGGGAGGATCTTTAACATGTTTTATCTTTTAATACAAAATACTATTTTACAAAATATGTCTTGACTTTACAGTAAAACTGCTGTAAATGTTGCGATGTTAAATATGACTCGGGTGGGGACAGGCCGGTTCACAGCTCTCTGTCATCATCTCTGTGGCTCTCCACAGTCCAGAAAGCAGAACAACTTTAAAAAGGAGGCATGGAGAGGATTCAGGTCAGAGTTTCTGCAGGAAGCGGAGCACCAGGTCTCGCAGTGTGGTACGCAGCGGTTCGTTGTTGTCGCAGACGATGTGTGTCCCATCCTCCTCCAGCTGAATCAGTGTGTCCTCTGCCTGCAGGTGCAGAATGTGTCCGTCTGCTGTCTCCTCCACTTTGACCTCTGTAATACCATGCTGTGGGGGGGCGGAGGCAAAACAATTGCTGAATTTAACATGTGTCAAGCAAAATCAGAGGTAGGAATGTTCATTTGTACAAAAAAAAAAAAATAGGAAAGGAAAATTTAAAATCCCTAGTCAGTTTTACAAAACCGATCTTTTAGTTATTGTTGGGACATGCTCATGCAGTTAATTCAATCTAAGATGTGTTAGTTTTATTTTTTTTTTTAAATGTGCGGTGGTAAAATCCCTGTCCTCTACTATATAAAACTACTAATCCCAACAGCGTTATGCATGAGGACATTGTAATGTCAAGTGGGATGAGATTTACATCTGCCGTCATCTCCCTCGGGAAAACAAAAGCCACATCCGATGAGGAGGCAAAGACAAGGGGGCTCAGTACAGAAATTAATTTGAACTGCTAATACTAAGGTTCCAACAGATGGCTGCAGACTTCCCACCTTTTGCAACGTGGCCAGGAAAGCTTCCAGGGGCACAGCTCCACTAAGCAGGGGTTTGGGGGCCAGCACCACTGGAGGCTCCTCTATTACCCGCTTCCTCTTCTTGCTGGGGGGCGCTGGAGGGGGTTTGGGCACTGACTGGCAACACAGAAGAATATGTTCATATTTACTCATTCATATTTGTGCGACACTTTCAGAAGATACACGCACGCTCACTTGCAGTGTGTGTTTGTTGTCCTTGGAGTGCAGCACTGCAGACACAGTTGCCAGGGAGATGCCAGGTTTAATCTCAGAGGGTACCAGGGAGTTGGCCAGCTAGGAATAGAAGAATGAGACTTTTAGACTTTGAGAAAATTGGCCACCTGTGCACTGATAGGAGTTGGAATATCTCCATAATACATTTTAGACACCATATGTCATAATTTCCTACCAACACATGAGAGAATTTAAAATATGCACTTGCCATCTGTTTCCAAAAAGCGACTGATTTTATCTTTTATTCAACATTGTCAAGTGAGTTTATTAGATCCCTTTTAACCAGACAAGTTGAAGAAGAATATATTCATACCCACATGAGCTCGAGCTGCGCGAGTTACTGCTCTGATGTGACTCACCTCAGGCAGTATGTAGACACGTTCATAGCGGCGTCTGAAGGGCAGGTTGAGAACAGAGCAGCGTCTGTAGGACATGGGAGGGGGCTGCAGCTCCAGCATCAGATCAGAGCGGTGGGACTGGGTCAGAGGAGGCTGAGTGTACTGCTCTGGACACACAACGTGGAGGGGCTGCAGAAGGGAAAAGCAAGGAGACACTGATCCAACTTCCTTCTGGCTGAAACAGGCCTTTGAGGTGGATTAATTAAAGTAGCTTTTACACACATTTGCTGTTCTAGACTGAACTTGCTTTTACTGAAGACAGACGGGACTAAATGCAGTTTTAAAAGGAATAACCATTGTTGATCATCGGAAGAGAAAGGGACCAAATAACCACTTTGTACCATGCGGAAAAGGGCAATGAAAATAAGTTTAAATAAGTATTTAAAACTGAGAAATGTGTTTTCCTTTAGTCATCTAAAATGAAAGTCGTCAGCAATGTTGGCAAAGACACATCAAACATGTTTCTAAGTCCTTATTTTAACCATAACCATGGTGATGTTGCTTGTGACTACCAGGTTTTACTGGACTCAGTTTTTACAGATACAACACAAAATAAAAGCATCAGGGGACATTATGTCAGTGTTTGGAGGAAAATCTCAGTGCCCAAGTCTTAATTATCCAATCAGGCTGCACTGTTCAGAATTGGCTGAGCCATAGGACCTGTGGCTAACCCGAACCGTGCATGTCTAGCTAATGCAGCTTATGAAACTCTATAGTTGCATGACTCTTGGAGATGGAATTGATGGACACAATCAGATACTGTGTACTGAAGAACAAGAATACAAAACAGTCACGGGATCACCAAGGTCAGTAGGATTCATCCTTTGGAGACCATGAATATCTGTACAAAATCTCACAGCGATGCATTCAACATTTGTTGAGATATCTGGAGCAAAGTGGTGGACTGACACTGACCTTGACCTCCTTAGACTTAAAGTTATTAGCATGGATAAAAAAAATAAAATAATGAAACTAATGATCATATGAATGCCACTAGACATATCTGAGCTTTAATTTAAACCTGCTGTTTAAAAGAGACTTAAGGTCATACAGTGATTGACAACTCAAGATGTCTGCAGCTGCAGTCCTTTAGGCAGGACACGTATTTGATTTCATTGAGTATCTGACAAACAGAATGGGGTCTTGCCCAAGGACACTTTGACATGTAGACCGGGGGAGCCGGGCCCTGACCTTCCTGTTAGTGGACTGCTCTACCGCCTCGATCCACAGCCGCCCCTAACTAGAGCGGTTGACTAAATGAGGAGAGTGGAGAATATTTCATCATACAAGAATGATAGGGTCCCAATGAATCACTCAGAATTAAACCGTCAATTTGCCTCTGCAGCATTTCAGGACTGTTCTGTATTCCCCCCCACCTGCTCTGCCATGAAGGCTGATCTAACACTGTTCTGTTATCTTGTTTGTGCCTTGCCTTCTAGCTTGTAAAAACTTGTTTCCATTCTCTGGTTTCACCCACAGGAATGCTGCTGCCTCAGTGATTATTTGCTTGTTGCACAATGCACCTCTTCCCAGTGTTGCGTGTAAACAAAAAAAAAACCCATGAGGCAGCTATTTCTGAGCTACACAAATTCATCTTTTTCCATTCATTATCTCACTCTATTCTATTCACTCTTAGACACCCTGTTACAAAATCATTTTATGTAGGTGCAATCTGTTCACCGCTTACTTCTGCTTGTTTCTGTAATTGGTTGAGAAAAAGTGCTAACAGTACATTTAACATATTTACGAATGGGATGGTGACATTACAAAAAAAAAAGTGCACCTGGACTTCCTTGAGCAGCTTTGACACTTGGTGGAAGTTGAGCCGCGTGTCAATGGGACAGTAAACACACTTCATAGCCAGCGGCTGGTAGGGAGCCAAAGCATCCAGGTAAGAAAAGTCTGGCTCTGGTGGTAAGAAAGTCAATAAGGCTTTTAGAAGCTTAGCCTTTGCTTTATAATTACAGGATGACATATTTTCATCCGTGTCTAGTGCTATGATATAGGAGTGCTTGAAATACAGTTACCAGTGAAGATGATGGTGTTGAGGCTGGATTTGCCCCACAGCTCCATGAAATGAACCACGTCCCCGAAGCGCAGAGAGGGGTGACCGGTGAACACCACGCAGGGCTGACGGAACTCACTGCTGAAGTCTCCGTGAATGCTGGGGTAGTGCTTCAGCTTGTTGGTTTGGATCAGCTGAAACAACAACAACAACAACAACGCTGGATGAAAACTCTTATTTTTGATAGGAAAGACCAAATCACTTTCAGTGCCACACAAAGTGTTGTTCATTGTCTATCGTTACTTTTGTTCAAAAACTATTTTTTGTTGTTTGTTTAAGGAAATAGACCAAAAATATTTCAAGTGATCCCTGGATACAGACTTTATTCATGAAATCACCTTTCTGACCTTCAGCGACCTGCTCACCATAGTATTTGACTGATTCAAAGGGTTTCCCTAATGCAAAAACTAATTAACATCCATCAATACAATACAGTAAACACTGGCATGTTGTACTGATCTCAGATAAATGCATATAATTTGAGAAACCCAATCCAGGCTTCGTTCTGGCTTGCATGATCAGTTCAATGCTGATTTGCTAGCAGAAAATCTGATTTCCCACTATCCACTATCTCTGAAAGCCACAGCAGCTGGACTCACCTCTGCATGGGGGAATGGAGGCTCTGGAAGATACACCTTTGTTTGCTTGTTATGGCAAAGCCTAAAATAACCCAGAAAAAACAATAGTAAATGTAGTCAGAATATCAAAGAATGATCCTGGCTATGAACAATTATGAATATTTCATATCATTCGATAACGATAATTATCAGGATGAATGTCAAATCTTTATTTCTTTCAAGTTTAAAGGCTGATTTTTGCACCTTAGCGAAAGTTGAAGAAACCAAGTGGTTAACTGTAGTAAACTTTTCTTTATGGTCAGAACAAACACTTGCCAAAACAGTGAATCACTTACCAAATGAGGTGGAACGTTTATGATGAAATCATAAACAAATATGCATGAGTAAAATTAAACTAACTTTTCCTCAGCAAAATTAATATCTTAAGAGAAAAAATTAAGTGCTAATAAATTCATGATTCAAATGAATTAAATCAAACATTTGATGAAAATCTGTTATATTTTTAATGAGGAAAATTATATTGCTACAATTATCATTATTGTTTTATTGCCCAGCCCTACTTCAACACTGACTGTCCATTTTGTTCTGAATGTCTAATATGTAAGAAGTCACTGAAATTTTACTTTAATCCTGCATATTTGTATTAATTATATTATTATTATTAAATATAAATAATTGCTGCTTTCCTTCTAGGTTCTGTACAATGATTTCTGAAATAAGGAAATTTGGACGCACAGCTCCTCACCATTCAGCAAAGATCTGAGAGAACTCCAGCGAGCTGTTGGCAACAGGAGAGATAAAGTAGAAAGGCGTTGTGCCAAGGTTGGCGCTCTCGATGAACTGGTACAGACACTCCAGCAGGTCATATATCACCCCCGAGGAGTAGCACGGCACTAGCACATTGCCTCCTGCTCGAATCGTCATGGCTACAGGCACAGGTGAATAATAGATACTAACCTTAAAAACACTCCAGAGACAATAAGAATTCTCATTTAAACAAGGCATGAAGCATGAAAGGTTTAATAAAAAGTATTTACTTGTATATGTTTATTTATATAACATCAGTACATTTTAACCTACCAAGATTGCTGCAGAATTCTCCCAACATGCCGTCTGGATTGGCTGTGGGCATTTGGGTGAGGCCTGTCAGAATCAGTACATCACTGTTCTTAAGGGAGCTTTGGTCCATCGGCTGGGAGAAGGGAAGAAGACACATTTTACTAAAAAGATCTGGGATATTCATTTAACTGCATTTTACATAAATTCATCTAAAGTCAAGCAAAACACTAGTATCACATTCGTGGCTATTGCAGGTTTTTCTCAAGCCCAGTGTGTAATTTTATCTAGCGCTAGGCCTGTTGACCTACCTGTGGGTGTGTGGTGAGGAGGGATGAACCAGACACATAGGAAACTTTCTCGTGATGAGACTGGATGATCCAGTTGGAGCTACCCAATGAGTACCCGGAGCTTAAGGGGGACACCTGCACAGCTCCAAACAACTCCTGCAGACCGAAACCAGTTGTCAGTATGAGAACACGAACATAGTGGAAAAACAGAAATAAAACAGATACTGCTGTTCAGTAGAGTGTACATGCACAATAATTGATTCTGCACTGACAGAGTGAGAAAGTCTTGCATGAGAAAAACAAACACTCTCTCTATAGTGCAAATAAAGTAAAAAGCAGGCTCTTTTCTCTTTGATTTTTAGGTTTGAGCTTTGAGTGTTGCTTTAAAAAGATTATTATACTTACTTTTTAACTGAGGCTCTTTTAACCAGACATGCATCTTCTATATAAACACATCATAATATGCAAAAGCATGTGCATATAAATGTGCCATACATATTTCAACATTGTTATATATACCACCAAAGGTTTGTATATAGAAAGTAGTACATACAGTCTGATCTGCTGGGCTGTATTAATTGAAGCCTGACATTTGTGTCAGTGTCAGTATTAGAGTATGCCTGTGCAGAAAGTGTAGGAGCAAAGAGGTTCTTACCACTTTCTGTGAATAACCTACAAGCTGCACCTTGCTGAGGGCAGAGTTGACCTCCTGCATGCTGTAGCATCGCTTCCACGTCCACACATCGACTGCATCCTTCAGCGGCCCAGGGAGCATCCTAGTATAATAAATGATTTATTTATTCACATCAAATTGTATTATGTTAAATGCATCTGCTGAAAAGTAAGCGAAAGTACAGTCAGACTGCATTATAAAAACATGTAAATTAAAACCAACGCGCAACAAGATAAGCAGAGACAGGTAAAAAGCTAGTATGAGATCACAACTGTTTATCTACCTTTGCATTTCCTTGTTTTTCCAGCAGGTGGCAGACTGTGCTTTGGGAACTCTCTCCATAAAGTTCACCAGCTCCTCCATTAACAATCTGAGGAAAGTAACAGCAAGAATCAGCATTTCTTAAATAACTGAAACAGTAGGTAACATATTTCACAATACATCAGTCAGAGTTTATTTGAGACAACATATTATTCTTCAAACTCAAAAGACCTCCGATCTAATTTAGAAATAATATGATGATGTTTTCGTCCTTTGTATCTCCTTACCTCCCAATCTGCAGGGTGGGTTCTGTGGCGTACACTGTCCCAGTGAAGCCTGTGTATTCAGTGATGTAGGGCAGGGCCATCATACAGTGGTAGTTGGAAATCAGTATGACGTCAATGGTAGATAGATCCAACAGTTCTCTCTGTTGCCGATATAAATGGAAAACATACATACACCTATTTAGACCAAATATGAATTATTATTCTAAGCAGAGTAATTATAATTTACATTTGAACTAGGCCTACTGATTGTGGAATAATGATTAATAACACAGTAGAGAAAAGTGAACGGAAAGTCTGAACTGGTAAGTTGGTGTAGTCATACAGTGAAAATGAAACTGACCACATACCACTTTGTTATGTAGGTCTATGTATTCCCTGTCCTAAAAATGTTAGTATTATAGTTTCCAAGCATAAAATTATTATGATTGATGTCTTAAGCAAAACAAAAGAAATGCACTTTAGCTAAATAAACTGTATGTGTGGTTTACTACCTCAGGGAGACAGAACTCTGGCTGCGAGTCCACAAACACTCTTCCTGCACACTCCTTCAGCTCCTGGAAAGATGGAAACAAATAGTTTGTTTGCTTTTGTAGCCCTCTGTCACAGACAAATCTAAATTACACTTTATAGACATAGAAACAGAAACAAACTTCCGACACACCTTTAAGATCAGATGCAGGTAAAATGCCAAGTGAATATAATACAACCATCATACCTTCTCCAAGGTTACAGTTCCATCCTTAGAGACCCAACCTGGCAGCTTGGAGAGTCTTGGGCTGAAAAAGCACAAAAAAAAGAACAAATCCTCATGATTCAGTATGATGCCAAGTCTACCACCCATAAATGATTTAGTTACTAAATGAAGAAAAGCACAACCTGCTGATGACAGTGACTCACCTGTGCACAAGGGGAAGGGGCAGGAAGTTGAGGACAGAGGTTGTGTCCAGCCCACAGTCCAGCATGATAGTGGTGGATTTGAATTTGAGGACATTGCAAGGCAATGTAGGATGACCAGACAGACAATACTGAAAGACAGGGAAGGACAAATCACTGGGGAAACGTAGAAAAACACTGTGCCAACAGCACAACACTGGTCAGATAGAGTAACATTAGTCTCATTGTAAGAACAAACTGCTCAGTTGCATTAACCAATTGACTGCCTATTTATCGTTCACTGGGGACTGCACACATTAAGTACTTTACACAGCCTAGCTGTTACCTGCCTAGTTAGCGCCAGTGGATGAGAGGACCTAACAGGGCTATTAGCTGCTAAGCTAATAGAGTAGCTATATCTACAACTACAGTGAACGCATTGTTATAGTCAGTTGGGGTTGACTTGGATACTTTAATAATGCTTACAGCCCGTTTACTCACCAATTTCATTTTTAACACTGCTAACGATTGCTAAATTAGTGTTAGATATTCGGCTTCGCTAACACTGCATCTTTCTTCTCACGTTTTACGGAACTCCGCTCGCTTTGTTTCTGTGAGTGTTGTTCTCTACTGCCCTCTACAGACGTGGAGTATTTCTTCAGTAAATAGCGTTTACAGGCAGGCCAAATACCTAAACAAACGGCACGTCTTTGTTTGTTTGTAACTGCCTTGAAAAGGAACACCGTGGTCCACGAAATACTGAATAAAACATCAATGCGACGCAAAGCGTCCATAATTGTTGTCAACAAATGCACGTGCCCATAGCCTGCAGGGCTGTCAATCAAATTCGCTGGCTCTGACCAGAGACATACATCGATCAGTTCACAAGGGACCGACGTAAAAGTCCCTTGTAGATATGCCGATACTGTTATTGTTATTATGATGATATGAGTTTGGCTGCCAACCCTTAACCTATTTGGTTTATAGATTATATGATCTGGATGTTTTATGCAGCCAGAGGCAGGCCGATTGCTACAGGACGGTAAAGTAACCCAACACTTTCCATTCACTACTCTGGTTTAGCCCCCTCCTATGCTAGTAGTGGCTAGCCTTCAACATTAACAACCTGTCAAACCACTCCCAAGTGACTCAGGCAGTAGATGTACCTCGAGAAAGTGAAATTAGTTACGTGGTAATGTTGCGAAACTGATGTAGTAACACTGGTACTCAACGACGTCTGTATCTCCGGTAGGCATTGTCTTTTTTTGCTAAACAATTCGTCTATTTGTAGCTAACAGCTAACCAGAAGATACCAATGTTAGTTGGCTTTTGAAACTACTGAGGTCGATGTTTTCTAATGGAGGGTTTGTACAGTTATTAGTCAAGAGGATTTACGAGCGAACAAAGACAGGTAACGTTAACGTAAGGGGTTTCTTTAGAAAATACACAAATTTTAATCGACAGCTAGATTAGTGGTAAACATCGGTTGTTACACCAAGTAGTGAACCTCAGCACGCATTCATTCACAACTGGTGAAGTTAGTTTCATATTGTAATAACGTGAATGGTAACAACTGAGTCTTTGTCTCCCTGTCCATAAAACCGAAGGTGTTGCGTTGTTCTTGCTTAACGTTACTCAAACATGTACACTCAAAGAAGTAATCAGTCAATAAACTTCAGACAATGGCATGCATTAGTCCTATATGTCACCAGTGAACTAATGAATTTATCATACAAGCAAAGGCAGAATATGGCAAATAATGTCCAGGAATAAAAGACCTTTCAGCATTTCTGTTCAAACTGGTCTATTCATAATCTGCTGACATTTAAAGTGAACTGCCTGAAATTAGTATCTGGAGTTTAGCATTGCAGAAATAACATTTTTTTTAATGTCAAGTCATGCCATATGTTATCATGACTGTCCTTGAGTCATCCTCTTTGCTTCTTGCTTCTTCAAACAAGTGTCTCTCTTTATTTGACAGACCAGAGGAGGTTTCTTCGCCATGGGGAACTCCTGCAGTAATCTGGGGATCCCTCCAGCCAAGGGCCCCAATACTGTGGGATGCACTGACTTCATGATGGACCACACTGCACAGGTAAAGCAGAACCAGATATCTGATCACAGAGGAAGTGTTCACACTGTATGTAAGGAGTGTTTACTAAAGGACAGGACCCACCCCAGCCACAGCCTGTTCACCCTGCTGCCTTCTGGATCATGGCCTGTATAAGCGGGACACACTTATTGGATAACTGAGCAATGTTATGTCATGTAGTACTTACAGTACATCTTTGTTTAGTCATTGTGAAGAACAGCATCAGAATGTCTGCAGCAATAAGAAGCTGATAATTGATTCCATTACAGCACTAGTCATTACATTAGTTATCAAATGGAGATTACACTGAATAGCCTAAATGTGTGTCAGATTTTCCCACATTAAGGGTTTGGTGTTGTCTGAAGTTATGTCAAACAGCAGCATTAGGCTATCTTGGCTCAATTGTTGAGTGTCTGTGTGATCAAATAACATTATTGTTATGCCTTAGGTATCCAGGAATTGTTGTCTGGGGGAGAGGCCTTTAATATCAGACTTTGAAACCCCCTCTGGAATACAAAAGAGAGTGTGAACTTCTTTGTCTGCCTTGTTTACAGGGCAGCTTCTTCCGTCTATACTATCCTTGTCAAGAGACTGAAAAAGCTGAAAAACCCAACTGGGTGCCGTGCAGGGAGTATTTTAACGGTCTGGCAGACTTCATGAAAATCAACCGGACTCTCAGTGAAAGGATTTTCAACTACCTCTTTGGTAATTTAGTAGAAATTAGCAATATGCAGAACATTTCAAATGGGTTTCATACAAGTGTATGCTGTTTTAACTAGTCTTATCGGGAACATAGTGCATGTTTTTATAAATTTATGACTAATGTAATTACTTATATATATTATGCCTCACAATGTTTCCAGTGTTATAGGTTTCTGAATGTTTTTCCCTCCTTCCAAGCGGACGTAGGTTTTCCTTCTTTTTGACAGTGTTTCAATCAGAAACACGTCACGTTATTTTTTATTTTTGTCAGAGTTGTGTCATTGTTGCAGTTACCCAGGGAATGCATTTTAAATCAAACACTAAGTGAGAGCAGAAATGATTACATAATTAATTAAAGCTGCAAGTTGCAATGATCGGGGTCCAAGCAGGTCGCAAATACATTCAAACTTTGACATTTTCAGAGTAAAAGACAGGATGCAGATGACTTGAGAGATTAAAGTGAAATAATTTTGACTCTAAGCCGAGCCATTTTCGAGATAACTGATGTGACTATATGAAATAATTATGACATAAGTTGTGGGTAGAATTTCCAACCCGCCTTCCAAGTTTTAAGGTTTCTGCTGTAGAAACACTTTAGATAAAGAATCAGAAATTTTTACAGGATCCACGTACAATAAGCAAACTTTGACTCCCAATGACCTCGCTGAGCAATTAAAAACACTCCACGCAAGTAAGATTTGGCCACCTGGACATTTTGAGAGCAGATGAATTCAGAAACTAAAATGATGAAAGAATTTTGACTCTAAGCCAAGCCATTTGATTTGATAATTGCAAAAACAGAAGTTGATTGTTACAGCACCACCATGAGGTCAATGGTGGTCTTGCGCATGAGTAGTGGGTGCTATTTGCAACCCACCTGTCAATCGGACCCCTGAATATGAAATAATTATAAGTGAAGTAACTGGAGAAATTTATGGGAAACTGCAGTTGCGTGGAAGATGGGAAAACATACAACATGGGGCATGCTTTGGGAAATGGTCATCAGTAATATAATTTCTATAAAAACACTGGTATTGCTCTTCTGTTTTTTGTCACTTGTTTATTTCAGGGTCCTTTAAGATTCCAGCCTACCTGGATGCTCCATTCAAATCAAATGAAAAATGTCCTGTAGTCATCTTCTCCCATGGCCTTGGAGCCTTTCGGTATACACAATCACTTTTCACACTGCTACAGTATTTACTCTGCTCTCATCAGCTACTGACATCTCCTTGGTGTTTCCTAGGACTTTGTATTCAGCTGTATGTGCCGAATTGGCTTCTCAGGGCTTCATTGTGGCGTCTGTGGAACACAGGTATTTATATAGATTCTATAAAAAATACTTTTAGCTGATGCGTTCTTCATGTTGACATTGAAGCCTTAGGCATAAGAACTATATTCAAGCTGTAGGCTGACAATATGTGCAGAGAAAATGTGAATCTAAGGCCGCCTGTCAGTTGGAGAAATTTTTAGTTGACTGTTAGCCAAGCGAACAATAACTGAGGGCAGTCCCGTCTGCAAGCGGCTGTCTGTTTATCTGTGCAGTAGAAGTGGAAAGGGTGTGCACACAATAGTACGAACCAGGTCATCACATTTCTTTTCAGTATAGAGACAAGGGGACCATATGGAGATGAACATAATGGCCACAGTTAGTCTTTCACTCGTGTGGGTGGAAGTGGTATTCCACTGAATTTTTGCAGCCGGTTAAAGGCTCAAGCCACAGAAAAAGCATGTGCTAGTGCTGTGACCTAGTTCATAGGTGTGACATGAGACAGACTTTGTTTCACATGACTGCACTGGTGGTCAGAGGTCAGTCCAGCCGCTCAGCCACTGGTGCTTTTGTCACACTGTCAAATTAGTTTGCTTAGTCTCTTGACCAGAAGAAAGCCAAAGCAGTCATAAACAAAGGTCAAGCCGGAGCTGGGAACTAAACGCACGCTATGTTTGTGTGTATGGGTTTGTGTGAGAGATGTTGTAACAGCGATAATCATTAATAGATGAGGATTACTCATGTGCAGCCTAGTAACAGAAACTTTTTTCCATATTCACCAGAAACAGGATATACTGTAAGCTCATGCTAAAACCCTGTATTTCCACGTCACATGAAGGAAGTTTTATATTCATATGTTTCCATTTTAACCCAGCCTATAATAACAAGCACGTTGGTACTCAGCCTTCGACTCATTATATATTTTCTTTTTTTCTGTGCAGAGACCAGTCAGCCTCAGCTACGTATTATTTTCGTGAGAAGACCGAGTCAGAGAAGGCAAATGCGAAAGCGCCTAAAACATCTGGCTCAGCCCAAGACAACTTGATAAGAGAGTGGATGTACTACAGAGCTCTGCGGCACGGAGAGAGGGAATTCCCCCTCAGAAATAAACAGGTAACAAGTATATCATATGGACGGCACTTTGGGAGGTAAAAGCCCCGTGCAGGGTTTCTCAACATAATGCCATGTTTAAACCAACAGTCACTGTATTAAGGTGGAGACATAATTCTTCTTCTAAACAGTGTGGGTTTAAGAGTGACAGCAGCTGTATTGCACAACATCTGACCTTTATGCCAATATGCTGCATGACTCAGATCTTCCAATCAAACCACATCCTGGTTGTGTCTCTCACATTTAAACCTTTCCCCGTTTTTATCTCAACATTTCATCTATGCTGTCTTAACAGTTTTCTGTTGTTTAAGTTTGTATTTTTGTTAAGGACTAGCTCCTATTTCAGGTGTGTTATTTTCTTTTTTCCTGACTTGTGTGAATCTTTGTGTCACTGCCAGGTGAAACAGAGAGCAGACGAATGCATTCTGGCTCTGGATAAACTAACTGAAATCAACTCAGGGATAGCGGTGCAAAACGTTCTGCAAACACAGTTTGACTGGACGACGTTGGAGGTAGTAACCTTTTCATCAACCT